TACAGGACACACTACACCAGTATACTTCTCACTGCAGCAACCACGGGAGGCCTCCAGAGAATGACAAGATATTTACTTGACTGATGTTGTGTGACATTACTCTTGTGATGTCACAACATTATGTGTCAGTGACCAAGTCACAACATCTCATTTATCAAAACTACCTGCTTCTTTATAAAACATACACTTAAAAATCTGTATGTAATAAAAGCATTTAACTCAGGAGGATGAAATTTGTCAGCCTTTAAGGTTTAAGGGTTATGTGCAGTCCATATTCAATGCAGAATAGAACATCTTCATGGTGAAAGTGTACAGGACAAAACAATAGACATTGGTAAATGGCACTGAACAACAGATTTGAGTTTAGCAGCTTTCAAAATAAAAATGGTGAGTCTCTTCCACCCACAGAACTTTAAACTTGGAATTATAATGAAAGTTAATTACAATCAGTCCCAGCCACACTTTACTTCATTGGGTTCTTAAACCACAAAATGTTTTCACAGAAAAAAAATTACAATGAATTATCAATACACAAATACCATATTTTCCTTTGACAATCCCTTTTAAAATACATGTGCTTGGCCTGAAGCAGGCTACAGAACCATTTCAATGTGAAATACAGTCATTAACAGATTTTTCAGTGAATTATAAAGAGGCAACAGTTCAACAATTGGTCAGTTCAGAGCTTTCAGAAACAATAGTGGCTAGTCTGCTGTTTCTCTTACCAAACTTGTCTCAATCAGCCACAATTTAAAACTTTAATCTGCTATTTTCAAAACAGAAAACCAGGGTTTTATAGAGAAACAACAAACTACTTCAACTGTGGTGACTCAAGAAAATCCTCCCCAAAAAGACATCAAATAACACATAGAGGTTGAGATCTCAGCACAAATGTAGCCAACACACAGGGAACAGGGGATACACACAACTTGGTCATTGTTGACAGAACGTTTTCAAGAAAGGTGACTAAAGCCAGAAAGAGGGGGAGAGTGTGAGAGGTGAGAGGAAGAGAGAGTATTGTTTTTGGGTTTGTTTTACATACGGGTCTAGAAGATCCCACCACAGCTGTGTCAGAACGATCTCTGCAGAAACACACAGGACAGAAACAAACAATCAGTCGATGACATGAGCCGACAGCCAACCTGACCGATTCAAGTTAACTTTATGAAAAAGACCTGCGGTCTAGATTTCAAAGGGAACTACAGGGAAACCCAGCCTGAACTTAAATAATAAGTACGTGGACTTCTCAGATATGACTTTATATTTTAAGTATACATACACAATGAACGTCCTGCCAGCAGGTTTTACTCCACCAATTGGAGTGCGGCGAACGATCACGGATGAGTGTTTCGGGATGTGGGCTTCATCATCTGTATATTCTACAAAACATGAGATCACCACAAATTAAATAGAAAACCAAACAATGAAAATGTGATGCCTAAACAACATTACCAAAATCCATTCATGGACCTCAGGTCAAGATCACCAAACTGATGTAGATAGTAAATCAGATGCACACAGAGAGTGTCTAAACTCAAATATGTTCATTATAGTAACTAAATACAAGCCAAACCAGGGACAGTGGGTGAGTTTGCTATGGCCTCTATTATCAGTTTGTATCAGCTAAAGGTGTGAAAAACATAGTGGTATCCAGTGTTTATGTATACATTTTATAAATCACCTACCTGTCAAATTTGGTAGTTGATACCAATATTAGATTACAGAGTAATGGAAGGTTTTTACTATATTTACTCAGCCTTATGCAGGCTTTTAAACATTTCAAAAGACACGTGACTCAAGTTACTCTGGACAAGAAGCAGTACAGAGCTGAAACAAATAACAGCCAAAAAATATTGTGAAAATTGATTATATATAATCATTTAAAAACAATAATTACAGAAATTCACTGGTTCCGGCTTTGTGTTCTTACTGGTTTTCTAGTCATCTACAACAATATCCTGAAATTTAGGGCGTTTGAGAATATTGGTGAAACAAAACAAAAGCAATGTGATAAGATGATACTGGGATCCGGTCAGCTATAGTGGGCATTTTCCGTGTTTTCTGACTTTTTAGAGATCACAATTAATTGAGGAAACAATTGCAGGATTCATTAACAACTAAAATAGCTCTTAATTCTGGTCCTCGGTGGTGCAAATAAGTGTCACAGTTGGGCTAGCTCAAAAACTACTATGCTCAGACTTGTCAAAGAAATTAACCCAGAGAAGATTAAGTCTGTTTAACACAATTGTACATTAGTTTGAGCTATACTCGGTCTGGTGTAGTTCAGATCCAAAAAAAAAAAATAATAATAATAATAGGTGTCAATTTTATAGCTTCTCTGGGATATCCAGTCTATATGACAAGTCTACTTTTCCTATTTTACATAAACACATACACATAATTAAACAACAAAAATACTAACAGGGCAAAAATAATAGAGTTCATAACCAACAAAATAGTTAAGTGGATTAGATCATGTGGCTTCTGGGTTAGACTTGTGTGCTAGTGGGGAAACACAGTAATGTGTGTCTATCACCTATCGTTAGTCTCACAAATACAGGCTGACATCTATGTCACACATTTTGTAATGTGGCAGCTGATAACATACCTTCTCGAGTCTGCGCATTAGTGATCTGCAGGTCGCAGTCTGTGGCCTTGAGCCGCTCCCGGGCCATAATCTGCCTTTTAAGCTCGCTGAGCGTGATATGTAGCCCATCGAAAGTTACTGTATTGTATTCCAGTTTGGAAGAAAACTTATAGTGAACACACGACATTTTTTTTTTACAGGTCTGACCACTTAAGTCAATCAAGTACAAGGGGAAAAACACAGGCCTGGTATGATAATAAAATGAAACAGGGTCAACACTGAATACAGGAGGCTAAATCTAGTGACTTTTAATAGGCAAACCTTCTTTATATTCGCTGAAACACTGGATAAAGAAAAATACTAAAATAGGGAAAGGTTCAGCTCGCAGAAGACGACAGAGTCCTTGTTATTGCCAAAGAAAAATAATCGAGGTGTGAGGCCAAAGCGCCATCGAGCAGGCGCCGTGGGCCTCCTCAGTCCTTTATAGTCCGATAAAACAGAACAGGGTACCACCAACTCAAAGGCAGTCCATATAGTACAGTGTAAATCTTTCACATTGATGTATAACGTTATGAGCCCATGTCCGTCGTGATTTGTCCTTGATGTAAAGGCCGGGCCGCCGCGCTGCAGGCCACTAGCGTAGCTAGCAGCAGGCCTGGGGGATCCTGAATATCAGTCCTTGCTTTTATGGTTCAGTTCTTATTTCTCAAGTAAAACAAACACGAACGAGCCCAACAAAAAGTCCACAGAACTGCGCGAAAGCTTCCGCAATGAGTCCACAGGTTGAATCGCCGTTGGTCCTCAAATATAATATTCCCTTTATTCGTAATCTCCCGTATCTACCGTGTAACTGTTATCTTAGCTAATGCCAAGGCTCGCATGCTACACCTCGAGATTAGCTAATGTCACCTCGCTACTCAACACAATATGAAAACAACACTGACCTAACAAAAGCTAACGCATAATACTTAACGGTGCTATGCTAACAATGTTGGCCAAGGTGGCTATCGGATATTCTAACAAAATCCACCAGCTACGCAATCAGGGCGCAAAAGTTCCTCTTCGGTCCACGGCTATTTCCAACCACGACAAGCTGAAAAGTCTGTATATAGACGATTCTTCAATTTAAACATAAAATCCAGTACTGTAGTCCAAACCACTCCACTCCTCGCTGTTTCATCAAAATGGCGCAGTAGGGAACCGGAAGTACACAGAATCCTCCCAAAGAGTACAAATGGGGGCAAACGCGTTGGTGAATTTCAAAGTAAAAGCCCCTCTCCGTCAGAACCTGAAAGTGCAAATTACTGTTTAATTTTTGTTTCTTTGGTCTTTTTGTTTGTTTGTTTGTTAGGTTTTTGTATTTCCCCGGCTTGATACCTATGCTTGTTTATTCCGCACTATAGAGTAATAAGCTACCGCAAACTATAAAATGTTCAAATACTGTAAGAAACATAAAATACCGAAACAGAACTTTGTGTTACCAAGTAAAAGATTTGGCATTTTAAACCTGCACGTATCATATATATATTTATATATTTACAGACTGTGTGCATATATATATTTATATATTTATAGTCTGTGTGCAATACGAGGTAATGACAAACTATAGGCATATTTATATAGTGTATATATGATGGACAACTTGCAGAGAATTAGCACATCACTCAGCTCTAATGAGCATTTTAGTGACTTTCAGGTTTTTATTACTCTCCTTTTCAGCTGTTTCTTTTTTGAGGATAGATGCTCACCAAATTGCAGACAGACAAGCGATATTAGTTCATTAATCAACTGATGTAGCCAGAATGTGTATCTTAGCCAACTAATATATAAATGTATAGGCCTATATATAAATGAATAGCATGATGTACTAGCACATTCTGTGTAAGCCTTTGCATTGGTGAACTCTCTTGGTGTTCTTTGAATGTTCCATTATTTTGTCATAAAGCATCTTGGGGCAAGACACTGAACCCCTCGTCGATGGTTAGAGCCATCCGTTGAGGTGGCGCCACACATGGCTTCCATCGGTTATGTACCGAAAACAAATTCCTTGTGTGTAACATACTTGGCCAATAAAGGTGATTATCCTTATCCATATCTTCACGAACACCATTAAAACAAAAACCCCTAATGGCCTAATGCAGCGTTTGAATTTTGTAAGGAGGTAAGTGGAATAGCATGGTAGTGTGGCCGAGTGGTCTAAGGCGCTGGATTAGGGCTCCAGTATCTTCGGGGGCGTGGGTCCGAATCCCACCGCTGCTACGGGTTTTGTGCCAGCAAACACAGTAAATTGGACTGAAATCATGCTAAACATATGAAAAACGATTTTCCTGTGGCACAACACATCGAGTTATACTGAACATAAATGTGAAACTTTTCCAAAAGATGGGTTTCAACTTACATGGCAACTGCTGTAGCCTGTGCAAATATCCATCCATCCATCCATTTTCCTCCACTTATTGGGGACCGGGTCACGGGGGCGTCAGTCTAAGCAAAGATGCCCAGACTTCCCTCTCTCCAGACACTTCCTCCAGCTCCTCCTCCCCAACCTGAAGGGAACAAGCCACCCTTTTCCAACTGAGAACCATGGCCTCGGATTTGGAGGTGCTGATTCTCATCTCAGCCGCTTCACACTCGGCTGCAAACTGCCCCAGTGCACGCTGGAGGTCCTGGTTTGATGGGGCCAACAGGACAATGTCATCTGCAAAAAGCAGAGACGAGATCCTGTGGTCCCCAAACCGGACTCCCTCCGGCCCCTGGCTGCGCCTAGAAATTCTGTCCAAAAAATAATGAACAGAACCGGTGACAAAGGGCAGCCCTGCTTGAGTCCAACATGCACTGGAAACAAGTCTGACTTACTGCCGGCGATGCAAACCAAGCTCCTGCTCCGGTCGTACAGGGACCGGACGGCCCTTAGCAAAGGGCCCCGGACCCCGTACTCCC